ACAACATAAGACATTTTCCTCCCACAAGAGCAGATGAAGAAGTCGAGCACGTTGGTGCATATCTGTAATCCCAGCACTTTGGGAGGCTGAGGTGGGAGGATCGCTTGAGCTCAGGAATTTGAGACCAGCCTGGGCAACACAGTGAGACCCCATCTCTACAAAAAAATTAAAAAAAAAAATAGCTGGGCATGGTGGCATGTACCTGTGGTCCCAGCTACTCAGGGGGTGAGGTAGGAGGATCGCCTGAGCCTAGGAGGTTGAGGCCACAGTGAGCCAGGATCATGCCACTGCACTCCAGCCTGGTTGACAAAGCAAAACCCTGTCTCAAACAAAAAAAGAGAGATGAAGAACTTAACACAATCACCCCCTTTGCATGCTCCCTCTTTGTATCTGTTGTGCTCATTATAACTGCGTGTCCTGGGTTTATAAAATCCACCTTTCTTTTGTAAATATTAACAATCGGCTATCTCAAAATTGCTTTTGGCTTTGCACCCAATTCTGTGTTTATATTTATAAAATTTATTGCAATATCTTTGTGGTTTTAGGGTTGGCTGCTGGCTTTTTTTCCTGTTCCCCTTACCCCAATTTTAAATTCGTAATTTTGTTTCTCTGTCCGATTTAGAGAATACCTTAGAGTAATGTCTTCTGGCAGAGCACCCAAGTGCTACTCTCTCTAAGCCTTTGTGTGTCAGAGAATTGTTTTGTTAGGTTCTCACCCTGAATAACACCTAAGCCCAACTTTTCTGTAGACATGTTCCTTGTTTTCAAGAATTAGTGGGGACAGGGGAAGAAAGAAGGAATCTTGGAGTCGAGGGGAGCAGGCGGACGCCTTCTGATTCTTGGCGCGGAGCTCTCTGTCCACCACACTTGGTGTCATCATGGCCAGACAGCTTTATATGAAATCCATTCTAAACCTGCTGCCTAGGCTCTTAGGGCCTTTTTTTTTTTAGACAGGATCTCACTCTGTCACCCAGGCTGGAGTGCAGTGGCGTGATCTTGGCTCACTGCCACCTCCACCTTCCAGGCTCAAGTGATCCTCCCACCTCAGCCTGCTGAGTAGCTGGGACCACAAGTGTGTACCACCACGCCTGGCTAATTTTTGTGTTTTTTTTTTTTTTTTTTTTTTTTTTGCAGAGATGAGGTTTCACCATGTTGCCAGGCTGGTCTCGAACTCCTGGGCTTAAGTGATCCTCTTGCCTTGGTCTCCCAAAGTGCCTGGATTACAGGCTTGAGCCACTGTGCCTGATTTCTGAGAGACTCTAAATCTCTCAGAAATTTAGGAGGCCGAGCCAGGTGGATCACCTGAGGTCAGGAGTTTGAGACCAGCCTGGCTAACATGGTGAAACCCTGTCTCTACTAAAAATACAAAAATTAGCTGGGTGCGGTGGCAGGCACCTGTAATCCCAGCTACTCAGGAGACTGAGGCAGGAGAATCACTTGAACCCAGAGGGTAGAGGTTGCAGTGAGCTGCCACTTCACTCTAGACTGGGCTAAAGAGCAAGAATTTGTCTCAAAACAAACAAAAAACCACGCTTCTCAAACTTTACTGTGCAAACATCTACCCTGGGTTCCTTCTTAAAATGCAGATTCTGATTCAGCTGATCTGGGAGAGCCTGAGAGTGGGTATTTCTGACCAGCTCCTGGTTATACTGCTGGGTGATGCTGATTTTTCACAACAATTTTTTTCTAGTAGAGAGATCTCGCTCTGTTGCCCAAGCTGGTTTTGAACTCCTGGGCTCAAGCGATCCACCTGCCTCAGCCTCCCAAAGTGCTGGGGCTACAGGTGTAAACCATCTGGCCCGGCTGATGCTGTTGGCCCGTGGACCACACGGAGTAGCAGGCTTCCAAGCATGGGCGTCCAATCATTTGGTCTCCCTGGGCCACGCTGGAAGGAGAATTGTCTTGGGTCACATAAAATACACTAACACCAGCAATAGCCAATGAGCTTTAAATATATATATATGCAAAAAATTTCATAATATTTTAAGAAAGTTTGGGAATTAGTGTTGGGCTGCATTCAAAGCCATCCTGGGCTGCAGGCAGCCTACAAGCTTGCTTTAGAGCTTTCAAAGATGAGTCATGCGTGTTGTTGATTCTGTTTGGTGCTCCTGATTGTTTTCTGTGAGGGAGGGTGGGTCCTGGGACACTGAGCTCCTCCCTTCCTCCATCCCCCCCCACCTCACCGTTACCTCTGCCCCCCTTCTCACCCCACCCCAGCCCTGAGGACATGAGGGCACTGCCAGGTGCCTGTGCACTTGACCCTCCCAGGATCAAGGCCTTCCCACCACCCACGCCCTACTCCTTTCCCTGACGTTGGGGAGAAAATCCCTGCCGCCCACCGAGCCCCCACGCTAAAACGGCTGGGATGGGGTCAGAGGGCATCGGGGTTTTGGCTTCAGTGCTAGAGGGAGGAGGGAGGCACCAGGGCTGGCTTTGTGTCTTCATTCAACACACCAAGCACACGTTATCCAGCGGAACTCTGCCAGAGGCGGGAAAGTCAGTGGCCTCTGCTCTGCGGGAGGCTGCAGTCTGGGGGAAGGAGTGAGTGACAGCCTGCCACAGGGGGCGCAATATCGAGGCACACGCCCTAGACCCAGACCAGGAAGGAGGAAGCTGCCAGGCACAGGTAGAGAAGGCTGTGTGGAGCTCCGCCCTGGAACATGGGAAGATGTCAGCCACGCCGAGAGAGGGCGGCTGCACCAGGTCACCCACCGTGCTGTGAGGACTCTAAGATCCTTGAGCCAGTGGAGGGGTTGAGGATCAGGGCGTGTCTGGGGACTGGGGATGAGGAAGGGATGGGTGAGCAGACTGGAGATGCAGGCAGATGCCACCTGAGGGACTGCCTGTGTGCCACACTCTGTGTGCCTGGGGGCATGGGGACAGAATTCCCCCAAATGCCTGCTTCTGGCTTTGTGCTGTTGGCATCTTGTTTAGGCAGATATTCTTAGCTGTCACTGCACCGACCTCTAAGGCCACCCCGACTCCATGAGTGACCGCCCATGCCTTCTCCCCTCCAGTCTGCGGGGAGGAGCCCCACCCGCTTCCTCTGGCATCTCCGTGCGTTCCCTCCAGGCCTTTCCGCAGCATTCCCTCTCCAGGAATGTTCTTTGCCCTTCTCCACTTAGTTCATTCCTGAGTATTCTGCAAAACCTCTGCCACCCTTTTCTGACCTGTCCGCTCCCGGGCTGGTCAGCAGAGCAGATCATCCTGTGGACGGGGACTGGATGTGCCCACTGGTCACCTGCCGTGTGGCACAGTGACTACCTCTGGGGTCTGCTGACTACTGCAGGGACACATGGTGAAGGACCCTGCAGCGCCTGCCCGTCCCTCCACCTCGACCTCTGGCTGCTTATGCTGTGCGTCTAGCCGTGTGCAGTGTCCCCTTGCTTGCCAGCTCTGTGCTGGCGCCTGCTTTCCTAGTCCCCTCCAGATGCCTCTTCTTTGCACCTACTGAACCAGTGGGCTGTGCTCTCTTTCATGCAGTGACACTTGCAGCTGAGAAGTCACTAGTAACCCCGCACTCCCCATCATCACAGCCAGTGGTCCCTAGAAGCTGCCCAACCCACCTTCCACTTTGCCTCTCATGACGGATCCTCAATTTATGCCCAGGTGTCCTCAAGCCCACACCCCGATGGCTGCCCCTCTGTTAGACTGTGCCTCTCACAAAAGGCCCTTCTCTTACCCATCCCTGGCTCTCAGGCCAACTCCTGTCCTACTTTCACTCACTGACCTTCCCTGACCACTCCAGGCAACAAGCACTTCCTGCCCTAGAACCCTGCCACACCACTCATTGGGAAGATAATTTCATGTTCTTCACGGGGTCACTCTGTGCTCCTCTGTGTGTGCGGTGTTTGGCACAGGGCAGGGCTGCAAAAATATCTGTTGACTGAGTGTGCAAATGTGATCTCTTTCTCCTGGCAAAGTTTCCTGAAGGTAGGGGCCATGTACTCTCTACTGCACAGCTGATGTTATATCCAAAGCTAGTCTGCTAAATATATTAGCTTATTGACAGCTTAATGCCACCAATCTGGTGCCAGCCTCTTTAAGTGGACTGACTATACACAGATGCACACAAACACACACACATGCGCACACGAGACGTGGTTGTTCTGTTTTTAAGCCCAAAGTGTAAGTCCCAGAAGCTCTTTGGAAATCACCAAGAGAAGAATTCTCTGTGATGACAGAAATGTTTTATATCAGCCCTATCCAATATGGTAGCCACTAGACACATGTGGCCATTGAGTACTTGAAATGTGGCCAATGTGATTGAGGAACAGAATTTTTAATTGCATTTAATTTAAATTAATTTAAATATATGTAGCCCCATGAAGCTAGTGGCTGCCCACCTAGACTGGCAGTTCTGGACCTGCTCTAACCGCTGCCCCTCACTGTCTCCTCTCTAGACCCCTGAGCTCCTTCCAGCGCTGCCCGAGGTGCCCTCTACCTGTGTCAGCCTCTCTCGTCTGCCAGTTTGCTTTGGACCCGTTATTCCCACCTCAGCCCCCATGCTGTTGTCAAACATGTATTTGGCCTCTGGCTAAACAGTGCCTGGGAGGAAGAGAGAGTCCAGCTTCTGCCTGGCTTCCTCATCTGGGAGGGAAGTTGACGTGACAGCCTCCTGATGGCTTAGAAATGTGGAGGATGTAGCATGTTCTGGACAGGGCCGGCCATATGAATGACATCTTTCTTTGAACCATCCCCACCTGCCCTTATGGGCACCCCCTTCAGGCGGGGCAAAGTAGGCTCTTGACATGCAACTAGCCCTTGGGAATGAGACCATGGATGTAAGGCAGACACATGGGGTGAGTTCATCAGTCTTATTATCCCCAGGTAACTGGTTACTTAGGTTATTCTTAGATAACTTATTATCCTTAGATAAAAGACAAGATGATGACATCCTTTGCATGTTTACTATGATATGGCAAAATTTTCCAAACCAGAGCCAATGTCCTTGGCTCTAGGCGAACCCCTTCCAAGCAATGCAAAGGACATTCCAAACGTGACAATTAAGACAGTTCTTTATTTCTCTGACAGTGACTTCTTGAAGTGCACGTATAATAAATAAATAGAAAATATATCTTTGTTCATAGTGAGGCCTACAAGAAATGTTTACATACAAACACTCTATACATCTAACTCCCGAAAAAGGACCAGCTATTTCGGCAGCAGGTAAAAGACAAGCATTTCAGAGGAGCATTGCTTTCCTTAAAGACCTAACTTACATCTTACAAACAGAAACAATAAGGAGAATAGTTTTCTAAGCAATAAGAAAATTGCTACCAAGAAAATGCCTAGATATTGGCTCTTGGTGAATGGTTTAGGAAAAAGTTTTATGTACAGATCCCGTACTGTGAAACATATGTACAACTCTGAGAACTTTCAAATAGATATTTTTTTAAAAATGAACTGAGCCAAAGACATTCAGCATTTCTGGCCACCTGAAAGTGATCACATCCTAAGTGGTTCACAGTGTGAGACCCTTGCATTAAAAGAGTGAAAACTCAACAAAACCGTGGACAAGAAGGACATGAGGTCATTGGAACTCTCCTCTGTCACTGCTAATCTCTCTGGAAGAGGTCCTTCCTGTGATTCTGGCCTTTGAATCGGCCATATCTTTAAAAGCAGAATCCAATGGTCACCTCCCAGCAGCTGAAAGATGTTTGGTGGGAAAGACCTCCCTGGCAGTTGGCTCCCACCTGGGGAATGGACTGTTGGACTGAGTCTCATGGGTGCAGCTGGGTGGAGGAAGCCAAGCAGGCCCTCTTTGAAGGAAAGAGTTTGTGGTTGGGGCAGGAAAGGGGATAAACGTAGTTCCTCATCACAAGACCCAGGGAGACCCCATCGCCTTCTGTGAGTATAAACCACAGACAGAGTTCTCCCTCTTCCAGGAGCTCTTTGGGCGCTCTAAGGTGGGCTAGGGAGAGAGAAGGGCATTTATCAGCAGCTCAGAGGGACTGGGGTGGACCCAACAGCTGTTCGGACACCCAAGATCAGCCAAATTGGCTGACCAGAAACACGGCTGGCCCTACCCCATCTGCTGGGCCACATCTGTAGAGACGCTAGCACCGATGGCAGTTGCTGTGCACCCCGGCGGGGCTGACAGGTAGTGGACAAAGTGAAGGCCACGGGGACCGCCAACACCAAGGGGAAGGCGGGTTTGTGTGTGTGTGCGCGGGAGCAGGAGGGAGACGGCGGCTCGTTGTCATTCTACTCTAATCATTTTGTTTCCTTCGAGGGGACTTGTCCCCATTTCCGGAAGCTGCTTCAGGAGCCCCTGGGCACTATGGGCTGGCTGTTGAGGCAGTGTGGTGTGGCAGCAAGGGCTCGGTGGGGGGGGCTCCCCGGGCCCTCCCCTGGCTGTGTGGTTCTTTCCCGTCTCGGGGGCTCATTTTCCCCATCTGTTAAAATGAAGGCTTTGGACTAGATACTTTCTGTATTTCCAGCTCTGAAATCCCAGGCCGAGGGAGGTGTAAGCACATCTAAGGTCTCCTGGAGCCCCCACTGCTCAGTCCCCTGGATGAAGAGCAAATGAGGCCCCAAGGCAGGAGCTCACTTCCTTGACCTTCACTCCACTCTCTCGGAGTCAGAGGCAGGGCTGCGTGGGGAACGAGTTCCTCCGTGCTCTGGGCATAAGCTGCGAAGCCCATTGCTCCCTCTGACCACACTTCTCCATCATGAGTGGGCCGACAAGGAGTGGGCAAAGGGCAATGCCACAGTGCATCAGCTTCAGCAGGTGGCAGCAGGGAGGGCCCAATCCCTCCCCGACCCACCCCAGAGGCTACCTCTCCCCTAACCAAAATGCGCCCAGCCTTCATTCCTGCAAGCGAGAAGCCTTCCTGACCCTCCCCTCTGAGATGGCACCGGTCTCTGTTTTACCTGTGTGATTTCTCTGCCTGGCGTTGCAGTGCACGTGGACCTGACTGCCCGCCCCACTGGAGGCAGGCCCCTCGATCTAGGCATTCGTTCTCACCTCTCCATCCCATGTGCCCTGGGGCACCCAGCATCATGGCTAGCAGAGGAAACGAATGTTTTCCTCTACTGTTGGGTTTCAGGTACCATGTGAAATGTTGCAGATTTCAGGGCTCTCACAGCTACTCGGGCCTTTGGGAGTCATCTGGTCCAAATCCCGATCTGCCCCCGTCTCCCGAAAGGTGGACACGGCCGGAGGCAGGGCTTGCCTCTTCCCCGAGGGTAGCCAGTTCCGTCCCAGCTCCTAATCCTGTGGGGCTGGCTCTTGCTCACAGGAGTGAAGATGTCCCCAAGGCCAAGGAACCTACATTCACCACCGTCACTTGTCTGCTGCAGATCGTGGGGATCTGTAAATGACCAGCCCTCCAGGCTACCTCCTATCTGGGCTGGGGCTCCTGGCAAGGTGTATCTTTGCTGTCCACAAAACCCAGGTCTCCTGATATGGTCCCCACACCCCACTGAAGAGGCACAGATAGGAGAGAAGCCCCCAAGAGGCTGCAGGAAAGTGAAGGTTTCCAGCACCGCCCCAGGGGCTGCAGGTAGACACTTGAGTTGGGGCAGGTGGCAGCACCGGGTTCTCTAATATCCTTCCCTTGGCCCATTAGGGCCGACACATGGTCTTCCCAGGCAGCTGCTGGTAGGGGCTGGGGGACTCAGCCATCCCCCAGTGGTCTGCTGCCAAGAGTCACCATCATAGTCCACCATGAGGTGGCACCGGGCGGCAGCTGTCCTCACAGCTTCTTCTTCTTCACCACAGGGATGGGCACAACTTGGAAGATTTTGGCCTTGTGATCCTCAGTGTCCAGAGTCACCCAGATGGGCCGGAAGCTGCCTTTGAAGCCAACGAATGCCATTTGCTCTGAAAAGCAACAATGAGCTTCCTGAGTAAACGCCCTGTGAGAGGACGGCTGCCCCACCCCGTTCCAGGGTTCCCATCACCAGCCCCTGCCTGCACCAGGTACCGTACCCCACCCCAGACACACTGCACTGTGGTCCCTTGGGAAGAGCTCTGTGTTCGGCTACTGCTGGTACCTGACATGTGTTTGTATGGGGTATGCGGGGGCTCACCTGAGCCTCATGGCCACTAGACAGGGTGATGGCTTTGCTACAGACAGGGGAGCCATGCACAGCAGGAAATGGGGCAAAGTGTGAGGGAGGAGACTTCCTAGGAACCTGCCTACGTTCGAGCTGCCCCCGGGATCACCAGCAAGGCCCTGCCCTTCCCTGAAGCTCAGCGTTCCCATCCATCAAATGATGGCATTGATCTACAAGATCTCCTTCTGCTCTCTATCACTCTGTGGCTTTGAAGGAGCTCTGAGAGGAGAAGGAATTTGACCAAGAGTGTGGAGGCAGTGGTGCAGCCCAGATGAGAACTCGAAGCCCCCGAACCCCACACAGCACCTCCATCTTGCAGTTCAGAGCTTGACTATTCAAGGGGCACGGGAATCCACATCCACCTTCAGTCCATCCTGGCAGGCAACGTGCATTAATCACCATCGGGAAAGTGCCATTCAACTTCGGTCCCTTTACATGCATCAGTTTTTGGCAACCAGGGTCTTAATTTAAAAGACAGAGGCTCCAAAATGATTCCAGGACTTGGCTGGAAAGGATGCTTCTCTTTTCCTTATGTTCTCCTTTGGCTGGTTTGAGGGGTTTGCATTGCTTCTGGTTTTTCCCATCACCCCATAGATGGGCTTCTGATTTTGATATTTTCCATAGTCAGGACGGTGTCTAACTAAAAAGCCCAGCTTTGGGTTAAGAAGATTAGGATCCAAATCCTCACCTTAAACAAGTGGCTTGGCTGTGAAATTCTGGGTGTCCTCATCTTAAATGGTAATAGTACCTGCTGCACAGGTTATTAATAAGTGTAATACTTATTCATAAGTATTACTTATTAATTAATAAGTGAGATACTTATGTTCTGCAAAAGTGCAAGGCTAACCATTAAATAGCAGCAGTAATGGTCATGGTCATTATTGCCCGTGGAGCTGCTCTGCCTCCCACACAGCCTCCCTGAGGACTGTCCCTGAACCTAGTTTGTGTGATGACAATGGGTGCCATGCTGACATGTCCCTCCTGGATGGCTTTTTCCAGCCCAGCCAGCAAGCCTGTGCTAGGCTTCACCACCGGAGAGCTGCCTGGCCTTGGACAAGCCATGTGGGTTCTCTGGGCTCTAATTTTCTTCTCATCTACCTATCTCAGAGGAGCACATAAGAGTTTTGCAAGCTGCCAGGGACCGTCCACATGCTAGGCATCAGTTGGGATGTTGAGGAAGATGCAGGACCCCGGCCAGTCTGAGGAGCGGGAGCTGGGTAGGAGGGCTGGACTAAGCCACTTTTCTCATGATACTTTTGTTGGATAAATGGCCACCTTCAACTCTAGCAATTTTCTTTCAGTGTCTGGCAGCAAGTTATACTACATTTGCGGCAGTGCAGGGTGGGAAACAGGTGTCATCTTCCCGTCCATTCCAGTAGACCACTGGTTGTGTAGGGGATTCTGAGCTTGTACCCAATTAGCACAAAGCACGTTCTCAACTCAGCAAAAGATGAAAGCAACCTCCATGCCAGGCATTTGCCTTCTCTGGTTTTGGGGTCAATTTAAACCCCAGTTCAAACGCTTACCTTTCAACTTGAGACCCCTGTCTGCCCCAAGCTTTTCCAGCACTCTGGTCCACGGGCCTCTGGAGATGTATTTTCCCTTTGACACCATGAGCACTATGGAACTGTATAAGAAGAAACCGATTAGACCGGAGAGAGATTGCAAATTGGAGCAAGTGGGCATGGGGAGGGATGCTGGGTTGTGCATGGTGGGACTGGAGTTGGCAGTGCCCAGATGCCTGGCCAGGAATTCAGGATAGGGCAGCCTCTGCTGTGTGCCGAGCTGACCGGCTCTTTCCATGTGATGACAGACATCCTGAGCTCCCTCCCACGCATCTGGCCACAGTTGGTGCCCACGGCCTTCTCCAAGCCTGGAGTCTGCTCGCCGCGTTTACAAGTCTCTCTCCAGACACAGGAGAGAATATAGGCAGAGCACAGCATGCCAGGGCTCGTCACGCAGGACTTCAATACGCATTTCTTCCCTTGAATGCTGTCAACCCCAGTTAGGTAGGACCAGATCGAAGTGGTGATGGAGAAAGGGATGAGAAGGACGAGGCGAGGGAAGGAGGAGGGGAGTATCTGTCATATCATAAAGCCATCTAGGAGCGCCTGAAGGTTCTAGAAACCAGCTGCATTTGGTATCACCTGGGATTTCATTAGAACCACAGAATTCCTCCACTGCAGAGTTTCTGAATCGGAATCTGCCTTTCTGCAAGATCTCCAGGTGATTGTGTATATGTTAAAGCTCAAGAGGCCCCAGGCTAGAGGATTTCTCTTGGAGCCCATCTTTCTTTTGCTGTCTTCTTTTGATGGACACAGGCTTAGTGTAGCTCAGAGCTAGCCTCCTCTGAGCTGCAGGAAGAGCATGGCCAGGTTGGAAGTGTTTCCGGGGAGAACACCATGTCGTTACCGTGATACTCAGGTTATACCAAGAGCTCAGACTGACCTCTCATGTTCACATCACCTCTCTCTGGTCAGGCAGAACAAGGTTACTGCCTCGATTTTGCAAATGGGGAAATGGAAGCAAATAGTTACCAAGTTATCTCAGAGGACCTACCGAAGGGAAATGTGCTTGAAAGAGGCAGAGGTTTGGAGCAACGTGCGTGCCCAGCCTGAAGGTCCCAAATTTCAAAAGTTTGACTTGGAAATAAGGAGTGTCTACTCCCTGGCATGGGATGATTCAGTCCAAAGTGCTGGGAACACAGCCGTCACAGTGGCAGACTCAGCACGCTGGGCCAGACGGGAGCACGTGGGCACCTCCCCTGGGACTAGGAATGGGGCAGAAGCTCAGTGGGGCATCCAGTTCGTATCTCAAAGGAACTCTCTAACCACAGACCACAGTCCAGACATGGAAAAACTGTGACGGAATCTGGAACCCGTTGTTACCCCCATTTGTGTCCCACTGGGAGCAGCAAGAAAGATCTTAAGATGCTAAGGGCTTGTGTGCAATCAGGAGAGTTGGGAAGAGAGCTGGGGCTGCCTCAGGCCTTGGAGGAGGCTGGAGAGGGAGGCCCAAAGGGTTGGTGGGGTGAGGTCCCTTAGGGAGAGACAGCTCATCGGAAACACATCCTCCACTCTAGATTCAGGATCTGTTCTCAGGAGGCTATTTCTGCGATGTTTCATTTCAGAACAAAAGCTAATGGTCCTTTGTTGGAGCTCAGCCAACAAAGGTGGTGGGGAATTAAAGATTGTTGCTAAGGAGGGGGGACACAGGTTTTCCCTACATTTAAGAAGTTCAAACCAGCAGGCAATATGGAAGATGGGTGGGAGTTGGGGAGACTGTGCCAGTGGTGCCGGTGATGACCAGCAAAGGCCTGGGCCGAGCAGCAGGAGGAAGGACGCTGTGGAGGGAACCAGTAGGCGAGCCGTAATGCAGGTGGAATTGACAGGCTGTGATGACAGCGTGCAGAGGAAAGAGAGGAGTCAAACGGAATGCCCAGATTCTCGTCTGACTATCAGGGTGGATGGTGATGATTTAATCAAAACTGAAGGAGCAGGATGAGTGGCTGGTTTGGGAGGTTGAACACTTTAAAAGGCTGAGAACGCAGTTCCTTATAAGATGTCCAGGTGGCGTTCTCCAAGTAGCAGTTGGGTGGGAATGTCTGGCGCTCAGGAAAGAGATCCAGGCTGGAGATAGTAGCCACCAGCACTTGGATCATGTTGAAGGTGTGGGAGGGGATGAGATCACGCCGGGAGTGTAGTGAAGAGGAACAGGGCAGCCTTCCCATGTGCAGCGGGGCTGTCCCGTCAGCCTCCGCCTGACCTACATTCACTGCAGCCCGGCTCCAGCCCCAGAGTCCAGAGGCGTGGAAGCTCTCGTCCAGCACCCATGATTTGTGGGCAGGTTGTAGAGACCACCTGAGCTTTTCCAGACTGATCTGTGATGAAGGCCTTTGTGACAGGGAGGGGGCCCTTGCCCAGGGGTCAGCCGGTTCCAGAAACAGAGGCACAGACTCACTTGTCAGGGATGGCTGCCATGTAGTTGAAAAGCTGCCATGGTATGCCCTGCAGAATGGCGTTCCTGAAGCTCATGTGGCTCACCACGTGCCCTTGGTGCCCGTCAATCACCACCACCTGGATGCCATCCTCCGAGCTGGGGTACTTCTTCCCATCCACCTGCAGAGCCAGAACAACCCAGGTATGGGGCGGGGTGCCGAAGCCCCAAAGGTTCTCCTGCCTGGGGGGTTCCTAAGCAGACCCTGCAGCCAGCAGCCGCCTGTGCTGCTGTTCGAAGCATCAACTCCATTATCACTCCACTCCCTGTAGCCTCAGTAGTGGGTGAAATAATGGCCCTGCAAAAGATATGTCCACCCGGAACCAGTGAAAGTGAAGGTGTCTGGAAATAGAATCTTTGCAGATGGAATTACATTAAAGATTATTTGATGAAACCATTTGGATTTTTAAGGTGGGCCCTAAATCCAAAGATAGGTGCCCTTGCAAAAGAAAGGAAGGGGAGAGGTGAGACTCAGACAGGAGAAGAGGCCACATAAAGACAGGGATTAATGTGTCTGGAAGCCAAGGAATGCCCAGGAGTGCTGGCAGCCACCAGGAGTGAGAAGAGGCAGGGAACAGATTCTCCCCTGAGCCCCCGGAGGAAACCACCCTTGCCAGCACCTTGCTCTTGGACTTCTGGCCTCCTGAACTGTGGGGATAACTTTTGCTTGTTTAATGCAAGCCACCCAGTGTGTAGTAATTTGATACAGCAGCCCCTGGACACAGTGTCACCTCTCAATGAGCAAACCCGAATCCTCCCGGGGCCAGGGGCGCTTACCTCGATGTAAGCTAAGTCATTCCAAAGGTGGAAGTAGTGCTGCTTGAAACTCTCCATCTTCACCTCCAAGAAGTGGTCCTTTGTTTTCTGGAAAACATCAACCCCAATGCAATTGTCAGGTTTGGGTGGTCCTTCCCCTCCTCTTCCCGCATGCCCAGTCACAGGAGATGGTTTGTGGAGCTGAGTGGCAGACCTAATTGGGTCTGGGCCAGATTGGGTGGCAAAGGGGTCCAGGCTTGCTGTCAGTCACTCACCAGCTGAGAACCGAAGAGCTTCTTGGGCATCGGCACGTCCACGACAGCCCTCTCGGCGAACCTGGGGTAGGCCGTGGCTGTGCAGTCACTGATGCCTGCGTCCTTTGGGATCAGAGCTTTAATCTTGATCCTCTCGCAGCCTTTCATGGAGCAGAAAGCAAACTTCTCTCTCTCGTTCTGAGCTTTCAGCTTCAGGAACAACAGCCTGCACACAGGGAGCGCTGCTGGACGTTTGCGTGGGCACTCAGAACCACCCCCTTCTCCTCCCACCCACTGAGACATTTACCATAAGCTGGGCATGGCAGGTAGACCCAGAGGCCTTACAGCATGGAACCACGCCTACCTACCACAGGGCTGTATGTAGCTGGAGAAATAAGGAACAAACGCATTGAAGAAAAGTACGGTAAGAACGGCAGTTCTATTCTGAGCACGTTTTAGGTGCTAGGCCGTGCACATGTGGTAAATTGACATATTTAATCCTCAAACGATCCTGTCCAGTAGGTACTACTGTCATCCTGAATTCTTAGATGGGAGAATGGTGGCTCAGAGAAGCAAAGTGACTTGCCCAGGACCACACAGCTGGGACGCAACAGAGCTGGGTTTTCCGCACCCGCATCGCGCCTGGTAAGGAAATGTTCCGTCTTCCTTACTCTACTTTTCTCCATTTATTACAAACATTATTTTATACTTTATTAAAAATAGTAATTATTATTGTAAAGGAAGCTAACCCAGTGTTATAGGAAGTCAGATTAATAGGAAAACACAGTACCCACTTGGGATTCGTTATTGCTCTTTCAGTGCAGAAAAGGCTGAACCCTGCATCTGAAACGTGGGAAGAAATGATATGGGGTGTCTAGCACCCATCCTGCTCTGGCAACCAAGCCTGCACTGAGCCCAGTCAGACTAGGGAGCTGGGTTTGCATCACAATGCCATCACCCCCAAACCTGTGCCGCACAGCTGCTCAGACCAGGGGCACACACTGGGCTCGCAGAGGGGCTGTGGATTGGCTACCCAGTAACCAAGATCCTCGCTCTCATGGGACCCAGCAGGTCTTGTCCAGTACTGATTGGTGCTTGAACTAAAAGACCACATGGAGTTGGGGCTGACAAGCTTGTTGTGCTGCTGAGAAATCGAGAGAGGAAGGCAGTTCGCAGCAAAGAGCTGAAACAAGAGGCCAAGCATGTGTAAGCATGTGTGCGCATGTGCGTGAAGGTGGGCGATGGAGACGCCGGGGTGGGCAGGCCGCTGCCTCCCTGCTGGCTTTGCTGTTTCCACTACCTGAGCCCTTGAGGTCCAGGTAGGTTTTTATGTCTTCAGGGCCCCTTGGTTTTCTCTCTGTAGCACCTCCACTTATTCTGAGCTTCCTTGAGTGGCTGTATGTTTCAAGATATCCACAACAAGTGATCTCAGAATAAAGCAGAAACTGACATACTGAGTTAGAGGCTGCTGCCCAGGGCTGAGAGCAGAGCAGCCCCATCTGCGTTCCATGCCCTGCATGGTGGGGATGCTGGGGAGGCAGGTGAGCACCCACTTTGAACAGCTTAGGAGGAAGGCAGTTCACTGCCACCCATGGTCACATCTTGCTGGAGGCCCCCAACATGATCCAAACCATTCCTGGGACCAAGGCACAGACATGGGATTGGTCCTGAGCCTTCCGCACAAAACTTAACAGTATTCAGGTTTCCTTGTTGCCATTATATATCAGATAATCTAAACTGGGAGGAACCTACACGACCATCCAGCCCATGCTAGACAGCAGCTGCCTTCCCTAATCCTGACTTGTAACTTGGATGCATGCCAGCTGGCTGAACTGTAAGGCCCTGGGAGGCATGAAAGGGGCAGGGGCTGGGCACCTGCCAGCCCAGTGCTCAGACCCTGGCTATGACCAGGTAATGTGACAGAGCAGCGCTCCTGATGGCCATGCACCTTAAATAACATACTTGTTTATAATTTAGTAAGAATCATTATAATAATTCACTGAGATGGTGTTAAGCAAACTTAGCTATCCAGAACACAGCTACAATCAATTAACAGTTTTGGTTTTTTTTTTTTTTTCTTTGAGACAGTCCCCCTCTGTTACCTGTCACCAGGCACCAGGCTGGAGTGCAGTGGCGTGATCTCAGCTTACTGCAACCTCCGCCTCCCAAGTTCATGCAATTCTCCTGCCTCAGTCTCCCAAGTAGCTGGGACTATAGGTACCTGCCACCACCCTCAGCTAGTTTTTATATTTTTTAGTAGAGACAGGGTTTCACCGTGTTGGCCAGGATGGTCTCGATCTCTTGACCTTGTGATCTGCCTGCCTCAGCCTCCCAAAGCACTGGGATTACAGGCGTGAGCCGCCGCACCCAGCCAACAGTTTTTTTTTAACTTGGAAAAATTGAGAGATGATTCAGAGCTTACATATTTCACACTTTGAAACCCCCTCCCTTTTAGCTGACTTAATTTTCCCCCTAATAATAGCAAACTGGTTGTTAACTATCCTAGTCCATAGATTATTAGAAGGTAGCGGCTAAAGGCAGGTGCTCTGAATCTAAGAAATAACAAATGCATAAGGCAGAAAGATGTTTAAAAGCCCAAGAGTTTGCAGCCCTTCTCCATAAGAAACAGACTCCCTATAACCGAACTCCTAGTTCCTAAGAGCATGGCTGAATTGAAACACAACCTAATGATCAGGAGGCATAGGGCTAGGCTAAGCTGCCAACCAAAAGGTTGCCTTATGCAGCAAAATGCGCTTAAGTTGACAAGCGGACAAGCCTTAGATTTTTTAAGACTTTGATCAAAGAGGTTCAACGTATTTCGTGGAAGTTTCCATTTGAAAAATTCGCATCTTTTGAACATTTCAGAAAATATGCACGGATGGTATCACAGGGACTTTACCTTATCAGCATCTGTTTTTTTAACCACAATATTTCCTAGTGGTATGTGCAGCACATCTCATGCTCCTCCTCTGGCTTTCATTTGGGAGGATTTTCCTAAATTCTCCTGGCCCCTGGTCCTTCCCCTCATCTGCTTCTTCCCAGGGAAGTAAGTGTCGCATATAATTGGTTAGTTTTGGGTATTTGGCTCAGCCCGTAGAGCAGGGGCACTCTGGTCTGCCTTCCGTGCTCTGAGGTTGTGGGACTGGTCCCTACGTGGGGAGCCTGTCATTGCTCAGTGCTATGGGGGCTGGAGAGGTAAAGCTGGGGACCATACTGGGAAGCTCTGTTCTCCAGCAGCTTTATCATCAATGAAATGGATCGCTTCCTTTTCACCTGCCAGCGTGTCTGCCCCCCGCTGGCTTCGAGTTTGTGGGGGGAAAGTGGTGCTTTTTGGGATGTTTTTTAATGCCCTTCCATCCCAACATTTTACTTATACTTTTGATTTTCAAATTTTAATTTGCCCTTAAGCAAATTGATGGAGCCATAAATAAGACACATCACCTGTTATCAATTTCCTTATCATTGACTTCCAGATTAGAATAGAAAGCTGGCCATGAAATGATCTTTGATCCTTACTCCTCACAGTTTGCTATCAATAGCCTCATGGCTGTGAAGCTGGGTTGGCATTCTTAAGATATTAGACTAGGGCCGGGCGTGGTGGCTCAGACCTGTAATCCAAGCACTCTGGAGGCCAAGGCGGGCGGATCACCTGAGGCCGGGAGTTCAAGACCAGCCTGACCAACATGGTGAAACCCCGTCTTTTAAAAAAAAAAAAAAAAAAAAGATATTAGACTAAATTTCTTTTTAAGAGAGGGGACCAAAGAACTCCCAGGAACAGATATTCTGTTTCTATTATATCTCTATTGAATAGAACCTAGTGCAGGTTAGCAAAAGGGTGAGGGTTTTGAAGACAGATCCAGCTGGGTCAACTTTATGCTCCGGTCTCAGGAAGTCTCCTATTTTCCCTGTGCCTTCTTTGCCCATCTCTTCTTCATTTTTTTTTTTTTCAGATGGAGTCTCATTCTGTCACCCAGGCTGGAGTGCAGTGGCGCTACCTTAGCTCACCGAGACCTCTGCCTCTCAGGTTCAAGTGATCCTCCTGCCTTAGCCACCTGAGTAGCTGGGATTACAGGTGCGTGCCACCACGCTCAGCTAGTTTTTGTATTTTTAGTAGAGATGGGGTTTCACTATGTTGGCCAGGCTGGTCTCGAACTCCTGATCCACCCACTACAAGTCCCAGCTTGTAGCTGGGACTACAAGTACCCACCACCACGCCTAGCTTTTTTGTACTTTTAGTAGAGATTTAGTAGGGATTTAATAGGGATTTCACCACGTTGGCCAGGATGGTCTTGATCTCCTGACTTTAAGATCTACCCGCCTCGGCCTCCTAAAGTGCTGGGATTTCAGGCGTGAGCCACCGTGCCCAGCTCCTAATCTCTTAATCCTCTGCTCCAAGTGGGTTGTGAGGATTTGAGATAATGCACCATATTTTCTGGATTCTAAGATTTACTGCCTTCACTTTTTTTCCTGAAATACATAAATTCCCCACAATTCACATGTATATTTAATAGAGTGTTTATTTCACTTTTAAAGCTTCAGAGCTTTAAAAATATTGGCCAGATGCAGTGGCTTATGCCTAGAAAAGTGTCTTACATTAACTGGCATTAACTACCTTGTTCTTAGGATTGCTGGAAAGGCCAGGTGGACAAGGTGAGGTCCAGCCGCTTTCCTGCAGCCACGTGGCCACCCACTCACCCTGAGTCCTCGTCCCAGTAGTAGTGGCTCCTGCCGGGATAACTCTGCTCCACTTTGTCCATCTGCAAGGTCCTCACGAAGGTGCCCGTCTTGGACGTTTGCTTCAGCAGGCGATTGTGAACGTCCGACAGGATGGAGAAGGTGGTGCCTCGCGGGTAGCAGAGCCCCACTCGAATCCAGTCGCCCCTAGGATGGGAAGTAGAGTCAGGTTACAAGCAAGGGTGTCCAGGCCACGGGGCCTTTGGGACATGCCTCAGAGAAAGAGACCAAAAAATCTCCACCAAATGACACCTCCATTTTCGTATGGGAAATTTTGAAAGAACATTTGCTGTTGTGGTGACCAAGTTGCAGTGTTCAAGGAGAGAACGAGACAGTGTCTGCCCGTGAGCAGAGAGTCTGCATGTTTCACTCATGTGTCTCCAGGGCCAACTCCCGGGGTGCTCCCTGTGGAAGTTTGGGAAAAAGACATTCTTTTTGTAGCTAAAGAGCACAGGATCCGAAGGACCTAGGCTCAGCCCCTTCCGGGTCCAGCTTGATTGTAGGGCCCATTTCATCTCTTCCATCTCATTTCCCACAACTGATAAATGTCTGTCTCACAGGAATACTGTGACAAGTAAATAACATGCATAGAAAATATTGAATCTAAACATGTGAAGCCCTATCCAGATGCCCTCGGTGTCATCACTTTGGTAGAGCCTCATTTCCCTCTCTGTAGAATGGTAACAGCAATACCCAGATATTTTTGCCATCTATCAAGCACTTGCTAATGCCAGGTGCTGCGTGCCCGTCAGACAGTATCTCCCTCCATCCTCACCGCACTTCTACAAGGTAACACTATCCGCAACTCAAAAATCAAGGAACTCGGGCTCAAGAGGTCAACCCTGCCCAAGGTCACCCATGCTGGCGCAGGGGCTTGGCCTGTGTCCTTTAATTCTTAATTCTTGGGTGATGTCAACCCCTCTAGGTGCTCCTGCAGAGATCACACGGGCTAGCCTATGGTTCTGTGAGAGGCAAGTCCAGGACTTTGCCAAAAAAGCCTTCGGTATCAGCCTTGAAACCAGCCAGAGCAGCTGCTCCTGGATCTCCCTGCGCCTGGCCGGACACCCACTCACTTGTTGAAGTTGATGAGCCAGATGGCGAGTTCAGCAGGGGCCGTCTGGTCCCAGTGGATGGTGTAGCCCTTCTGCAGGGTGACGACTGGCTGGTACTGCTGGTAATGGGTGCTCCTCGTGAGCGCCCCCTCCAGGTAGAGAGGGTGGCTGGGGAAGTCATTCTTGATGATCTTCATTCGCAGGTTACTGGTCTTGTAGGCTTGAATGTACATCTTTTAAAACCCAAAAAGGAAACACACAATGAGGCTATTAATTACGAAGGGTTATTCCAAGAGTGTCTGGTTAATATCTGACTATGGACTGCACTTTCAAAGCCACTTTCTCTTTACAGAACCCTTTTTAGAAGGCTTGAATGAAAGAAAGGCCAAATAAGGGGACATCTTTTCCTGCTGGCAGAGGCAGAGCCAGCCTTGCTGTGTAATGTAGCTAATGTTTTCTGTGCATCTTCATAAAAGTGCTCTGCTGAGTTTCCAGTGGAAATTTGAGAAGAGTCTGCCTAATAGTCGGACGGCAAATTCTGGACAAAGGACAGAGATGTGGACGGGGGAGGAAGGGAATCAGAGGCAGGGAGAACTTTTATAATTCTGCCCTAAAATGCAGCTCTCCTGTAACTGGCAGTTGCTGTGCCTGCCTCTCAGGGAGTGCCTGGGTGTGTCGGCCAGCTTCTCCCTCTACTCCCCCTCAGTCTCTGGCCCCTGAGGCCAGTCCTTGTGGTGCCACAACACACTGGATGAATAAAAGGTGCCTCATTTCAGAGGGAAAACTGAAAGCCAGACTGCCAGCCATTGAGTTCCAGGGACCTTAGAGCCTGGATGCTTTAGCCCAGCATTGGTTTAAAACACTGCGTCCTGTTTTATGGCACATCCTAAATTCATAAGACAACATCCCCTTAACTGTGGCCAAGAGCGACAATCACACCCATGTGCCATGATGTCGTGCTTTCGGAAGGAAGTGGTTCTCTTCCCCTCTAGTTTTATCGCATGTAAGATTAAAAGAGAAGCTTCAACCCTGCCCATCTGAGGAAACTGTCCTGAGTGTAAGACGTAAAAGGTCCATTGAAGCATTTTTATTTATTATTTACTTACTTACTTATTTATAAAGACAGGGTTTCACCATGTTGGTCAGGCTGGTCTTGAACTCCCGACCTCAGGTGATCCACCCGCCTTGGCCTCCAAAGTGCTTGGATTACAGGCGTGAGCCACCACGCCCGGCCCATTGAAGCATTTTGAAAGATGTAAAGTGAAGGAAAAATATTAACCAGTTGCCAGTTATGATAACCTGGCAAGCTCTAACAATGTTTTGGTTTTTTCACAGAAGATAAGCAACATATCAGAAAGAAAGTGTGGGAAGGAAAATCTCGGCTCCCTATGGGATACCAGACCTTGAGCTGAGGCTGCGTAATGCTCAAAGTGTGGATGCCGGGCTTGAGGGTTTGGTCATCCTGCAATTACTCAGGGCATGACTCCCCTCCATCAGCTCTCTTCTGACTCCTACCTTCCTCAGACCATCACATCCGCCACTCACTCCCATTAGCGCCTTGGCCCTTCCCCTGTGCACACCTGCCGCAGACGCCTCGCCCTGGCTCATGACACAGCTCCACCTCTCCCAGGGCTCTTGAGCAGGGCTGAGAAAACCCCACAGCCTGGGAGAGAGCTGCCTCTGCAGATGCACCGTCTCCAGTCTCCACTGTGCTTTCAACACTGCCAGGCGCTCCTTCCACAAGCCTCTTGTCAACATTTTCCGCTCTCTGCAGCAGCTCTTCCAAATCTGTATCACTCTCTGGAGGCTTTTTCTCAAGCCCAGTCCCCTAATTCTCAGCACATGACATCACCTTCTACTGCAGAGGGAAACGCCCTCAGCTTCCTGCCCTCTGCCCCATCTTCCTCTGGTCCTCCTTCCTGCTAAATGCTAGCCCTGCCACCTCCTCTGGCACCTCCTCCCCCAGCTGCACCCTGTGCCCCCTTCCTTCAGCCTGACACCATCTCCCTCTCCTATCACTCTTCCACCCCAAACTACCATTCAGCTCTTTTCCAGCACCCCAATTCCTGACGTCCACGGTGGTGACAACAGTGCCCGCCTTGTAGCATAGCTGTGAAGACAGTGTCTTCATTCATACATGTTCCTTTCACTCCCTGAGATGACATGGCTCACTATGAACCTGACAGTTCATTCTCTCAGGCCTCTCTCCGTTTACCCATTTATTCATTAGTCATTCATCAAAATACTAGAAGTAACAATATAACAATAGCTAACTAATATTTTCAGTTCTGTCCCATTCTAGGCACCGTCTAGACCTGCCCTGTCCCTCATGTGGCCACTGAGCACTGGACATGTGGCCAGTGTGATTCAGGATCTGAATTTTAAACTTTAATACATTTAAATTTCAAAACAAAAGCAATGTATTTTTCCTATCCCATTACTCTTGATTTGATCGTTACACGTTATATACATATATCAAAATATCACGCATGCTCCAAGAGAATAGACTATGATATAGCAATAAAAATGGAAAACTAAATTAAAAATAAAACATTCGCATTGAACACAACGTTAGTTTCAGTAGGACTGCACTTCCCTTTGTTGAAAATTGGGCTGAGTATAAAACATACGGTAGATTTTGAAGACTTAGGAAAAACAAGAAGGGTTTAATGATTTTCTACACTGATTCATGTTAAGATGATAGTATTCTGAATAGAATTAAAGTATTATTACAATTAAATTGTTTCTTTTTTTTAAAGACGGGGTTTCACCATGTTGGTCAGGCTCGTCTTGAACTCCCGACCTCAGGTGATCCACCCACCTTGGCCTCCAAAGTGCTTGGATTACAGGTGTGAGCCACCACGCCCGGCCTCTTTTTACTTTTTAAGATGGCTACCAGAAAATTTAAGAATACATGTGTGACTTGCATTACATTTCTATTGGGATAGGGCTGGTCAAACACTTTACGTGCATCTTCTGAAGCCATCCCCAAAATCTCACTAGGAAAGTTCAATGATTATCCCAGTTTTACAGATGAGGAAACTGAGGTTCCACAAGTCTGGGTAATTTGCCCAAGGTCCAATGGTAAGTGTTGGAGCCTGACTTGAATCTAGGCATTGGACCCAGAGGGTTCTTTTCTCTAAGCATTTTGCTTACCGAGTGTTTTGACTTGAACTTTGTAAAAATCCTACTGGGTGAGAGGAAAAGTTAAAAAGAAAGAAAAAAGAGATTCTGTATCTTTCTGGCCTGAAACAGAGCCAGGCACACAGTAGACACTCACTGAACGCTTGCTGCATGAGCGAATGAGTGAGCGACCGGCCCCCAGAAAGGTGTCCCCACCTGTGCATAGCGACCGCTGCAGACGGCTCCTCTCCAGTCAGGGACGTTGATGCAGTCTGGGTGCCGGACCAGCCAGTTGTCATCCTTCGTGAGGTAGGAGCCTGGGTACTCGGACACAGAGCCATCGACGTCATGGAACACAGATGTCTTATCCCCATCCATGTCCAGCTGGTTGAACCAGGGCCCAGGCTCTCCGAAGAACACTCTGGAAGTAATCTAAACAGAGCCCAGGAAAGTTAGGCAGGGCTGGAAGGTGAAAGGAAACTGCAGCCGTCATCAGGCCAGGGCGAGGTTTCCGATTTCCACTGACATTACAAGCCAGCCAAAGCAAAGATGCTCTCGGGCACAGAGAGAAACCGCACAGCTGACCCCTCCGATGCAGCCAGAGTAACAGTCAAAGGTTCACCGTGCCTCAACTCCCAGACCTAGCACATGCTCTTGGCCTCTGCTCACTGGTGGGCTGGCTGCTGTGGGTGAGCGTGGAGCCTGCTCTGAAACACAGGTTTCACTGATGGCTAGGATGGAGGAGGGGGACTGAGGACTGTGTGTGTGTGTGTGAGAGAGAGAGGTGGTAGTGATGTATGAGAAAGGGCACACACACACACGGGGGCATCTGTGTGCAAGAGAAAATGTGTGTGTGGCATGTTGCAGGAAGACAGTTTTGTCACATGAGCCCTCGCAGACTTCCATGACTGACCTCTTTCGGGCCCTCAGTCTCCTGAGTAAAGACATTAAGTAATTTCAGTTTCACATCTTCTCCCTGAGCCTGCCAGGAACTGGGCAAACAGGCAAAAGGCAAGAGCAGGGAGGAGCAGGAGGGGAAAGTCAGGGAATCCGTAACCCGAAGGAAGTGCTCAGGAGGCCTGGCCCCGCCTGGTCTCACGGGGCAGCCCTTGGTCCTGATCTAACCCTCAGCTCGTCTTCTGCCCTCTCTGTCTAGGGCAAGGAGGCCTCTGTTTATAGTCTGCCCTTGGGGAGAGATTAAACAGAACACCATCAGTTAAGACTTCCCTTGGAAACTGTGGGGCTTGTTAGATTCTTTGTGCCAACACAGGTGGCCTGGTCAGAAGACTCAGTTTGTCAAAGTCAAGACCCTTGGAGGAATGGCCTAGGAACCTCAACCCGCACGTCGGCTCCCTCCTGAGGCCCGCCTGGGTTTTCAGCAGGGAGTGAGCAAGCGGGCATTTACCCAGACCTGACCTGTGGGGCAACCTATGCTTGTACTTTTCCAGTTTGGATGCAGAGCAAACTGGGACATGGCCCAGCCTAGTTGGAGGAGGCTTTTCAACCCCTGTGGTGGTGGCAGTAGCTCAAACTCTGGGCCCCGGGAGACTTGTGAATCACCATCCAAAGTCTGGGTTTGCCGGGAGTCGGCCCTGGCGCCTCACTCACCGGAACGTCCTCAAAGGCAATGCCGGTCACGTTGTTATGGGGGCAGCTCTGCCAGGCATTGTTCAGGCGGAAGGCCAGGGCGCTGGTGTGCCGGCCCTCCAGGGCCACGAACTTTCGGAAAGTGCAGTTTTGGATGTTGATGGGGCCGTCATAGAACTGAATTCCTCTAATTGGAAAATTCCTATGGAGTTAAGTAAGATGTCAGTCGAAATGCCATGTTGTTTTGAGGTGAACCGTAGCAGAGACTTCCTGGGCAAAGCCATTCCTGATCCCCACCTCTAGCAACTGCCTCTGACCCAGATCATGATTGCTTCGTTAGTTCATTATTAATTTATTCATTAATTGAAAGCATATATAAACAGTGTCAATGGATGACTGCCTGATGAATGGATGGATGGATGAGTGGATGGATGGGTGGATGAATATCCATCTAGTTGCTGGTTTGGAGTTTGGAGAATGGTCCTGTGTTTCAACATTTCCCCCAATTTTTCAATTATATAAAGAGTCATTGGGTAAATACTGTAAATACCACGACCAATATTGTGTTTCTTGGGAAGGCAGAGCTGTTAGTCATTATCGCCTTAGTTCCAGTTGCTTTAACAATTTAATCAGATTAAGAACCACATGAGTTTCTCCTCTGTGAGTAAGCCTTTCACACTGGCAGTGTGCTGGCTTTGGGAAACGGGGGGAAAGGACACAGAATGGAAGGTGATTAACGTGTTAAAAGTAATTGTAAGGCAACATTTTCGGCACCCCTGGGCAAAGGGGAGGTCCCACTGGAAAGCAAGGCTATGGACTGACAGAGAACCCCAAGAAGGCCCTGAGACCCAGAAGGAGGTGGGAAGAGGCAACAGGCTTGGAGATGGAGGCAGGAGAGACTGGACAAGAGCTGGCAACTTGAAGATTTTGCCTTGGCCTAGCACAGAGTAGGTAGCTCAGGCACTCTCTCCCATTGCCTCAGACTCCCGAGCACGGCACGGGAAGCGAGGGTCTGCAGGGCCGGCTGGGCTTCCTGGTGGCCCTTCTTGGGCCGGGCCCCAGTCTAGGCTTGCTCCTTCTCCAAATCCAACATGTATGCTTGTGCTGGTGTCTCTACATCTGGGTCAGGCCCGTTCTCTTCCACACCAAATATAAATAAGAAAAGGTAGAATAATGGAAAAAGAAGCAGAAAAAGTATCTGCCCACAGGGAGAGGCCACACTCCAGCTGTCCCTGATGTTCACCCCTGCGCTCCCTTCCATTCCAATATGGTTCCTGGATGAAGTCCTAGGCACAGCAGTCACGGTAACATGCCTTCATGGGCACCAAAGACTCTTTGCATTTCTACATTTGTATGTTTATAACTGATTCACATCATGGCCTTGAATCCTGATTCTCATGGGGTGGCTCCATGCATTTCTTCATTTCACAGATTTTAGGGGCAGTCCATTTTTACTAGCTCTATATTTAGGTTTTGCACTTCAGGCCCTCACTCAGCTCGGTACAAGATGGATCAGTCAGGATTCGGACTGCAGATGTGATTTGAGGAACCTGCCTCTGTCCCACAGGCTTCCATAAACAGGGTCACCTCTGGAAGTCATCGGAGCATTCTGGCCCTGGGAGACTGGTAACCCTTGGCAAAGAAGTGCTGAACATGCAGGGTCACGCATGCAAATGCTGAAAGGGACTGCTCCATCACTGAGGTCACACAGAAGGAAGGGCTTCTCACCAGCTTGCGCTGAAGGAGATCATGATTTTGCCTTTGCAACGTCTTTTCCACGTCCACTTGTGCTGGGAGTTTTAGGTCTATGTGTATTTAGTGTCCTGGCTCTGATAGAAATTATGTCTTCCTAGAGGAAGAGTAGGAAGTTCAGGGAGATAAGAAGGGCTGATCTTATCACCAGAAGCACAGGGGCCAGTGTGCTACTCACAGGCTCTGAGCCTTGCTCTCCGGCTTGAATTCACATCTGAGCAGAAACACGAGCAGAAGAAGGAAAACTTCCTCACCACTGACCCAGCCTGTGGCTTTCCAAGAAATTGACCGAGTCCATTTTCCCTGTTTGCTCATCAACTTTCCACGTCACCCACTCACTCTCCACCCTTGTGCTTAACGTCTGACCTTCATTTAAACTCCCCCAGCTGCAGAGCCCAGGACTCCTTAGGACAGTCTGCTTTTCTGTTGTTGAGGATGTCTGATTGTTAAAAAGATCCATCCTTCTTGCACGAAACCAACCCTAACCCACAGGGCCATGTAGAATGAGTCTCACCCCCAATGTGCACAGCAGCTCTGAGGACATATAACAACATCCCTCATGTGGTCCCTAAAGTGATGTTCCGTCTCCTGGTTGAAGACCCCAATCTGCATGTGACATGGCTTTGGCTTTTGTCACCCTCCTGGTTATTCTCCTTTAAGTGTGCTTTGTCCTGACTCTGTCACTGTGCCATCTTCAGGAGTGGATGAAACACTCCAAGTGAGTCTGCTGTCACAGAAGAGGACTCAACAGTCCCTGATCCCAGACACCAAATTCCCATTAACAAAGCCCAGGAACGCATTACGCATTTTGATGGCCACATCACCCCGTTGCTCATATTCAACACAGTTTTTTGACTTCTGTCTCCCCACTTCTGATTTCATCCCTTAATTGTTAGTCTCAGTCACCTCAGTGATTCCCCTGGCTGGTAGAGGACAGAAGAATTCATAGTCAACAGGTAGAAACTACCCATTAACTTTTTCCCTTCCATCACAGCCGCTTAGGCTGAGCCATGCAGAACAAGGAGCTGGCAGGGTTGCAAACCTACTGGCCTATAGGGAGGGTCCTTCCGCTGTGGTCCAAGCCGCCGGGGCCCCAGATCCTGTTGTCCATCATTTCTGTCCCCACGTTGCCGCTCTCGCCAACAAACAAGCTGTTCTTGATCTCCTGCTTGGAGCCTTCATCATACGGGAAGGTTCCACCGCTGTAGAGAGAAAACGTTTGAGGTGAGCTGTCCAGAGACAAGGTCCCACAGAGGGCTGAGCACAATGACAGTTGCCCTTACCTGGCCAGGGTCAGGCCGATGCCATTGTCAGCAAACCTGTGGATGAGAGCAGATTGACAGTCAGAGCATGCCGTGGCTTCACATTCAGTGGAGTCATGGAGATGACTCTTCCCTGTCCTTGGAGTCATACTGAACACGGTGCAGAGGAAGGAGTCTCTACATAAGCAGAGGGGTTGCTCAGGAAGTTATGACTCCCCTGTTCTGCTCAGGAAGGGGATGTTCTGGGTCCCCTCCCACTCCGACTCTGACTCTAGAGAGAAAAGAGTGACCCCGGCGTCTCCCCACGTTGAATGGTATTCACAGCAGGCAGACTGGGCTCACATGCCTCCCTCTGCAGCCCCCATCCTCTATGACTCCAGGCCTTAGTTTGAGGTTGGATCAGGAGACCTTCAAGGGCCTTCCGCTCTCAGGACCAGCACCACAGAAAGTGGAATATGAGACTGGACTTCTATTTTTTTTCTTTTACCATCTTCACTGCTGTTTCAGCCATAGAGAGAAGCACCAATAGCTACTTTTCAAGTTTCCAGGAAGTCAGGCAGATGATGGCCCTGAGAAGGGCAGAAATCATTTTGCAATTGCACTGGGGCCATCTCATCAGCTCCCTTTCACCTTTTTTTAGGGGTCAGATGAGCATGCTCCGGGGGGCCTTGTGATTGTGAGGGACAAAGGTTTACACAGAATCCTGATCTGAGCCTTCGGTCCGTGCTACCACAGACTTTAGAGCCAAATACAGCGGCCACCTTCACTGCCTGTGTCCAGGGGTAGATTTAACTGGTCTCCACGCCTCTGCTTCTCCCATCTGTCCTGTCCACCCTGCCAGGCTCATCTCAGTACCATTCTCACCAACCTTTCTGCTCCCTAAAATTTCTGTGGCTTTTTATCCTCCATAGACCCAAGCTCCAGGGCCGGGTGAATCCACCCAGCTGCACCAGGCTGGTCCCAGTGGCCAGGCTGCTCTCTAGTGCCCAGTGTGCGTTTTCATACCCTGCCCACCCTCTTTCAGGACACATGGAACTTTTTCTTCTTCCAAGCCCATTTAGTTCAAATCCATCATTCCAGGCCTATTATTAGGGCATCATCTTCTCCGTTTATTTCCAAAACTTCCTGAGTCTTGTCTTCCAGACTCCTCCATGGCTTTTCTTCACTGCTTCTGTCCCTCAGTGCTCAGCTCTTGGTCCCCTCATTCACCACTGTGTCCCTGGTAATGTCACAGAGTCTCATAGTTCCCATGCCCACCGACCCACTGATGACTCCAAAATCAGGCACTTTTCCTGCCTGCACTTCCCCAATTTGAGACCTTCCTGGTAAATGTCTCATGAGCATCTTGAACTTGGCATGTCTGAAACAACACAATTATCTTCGATCCAAGCCCGTTCCCTATTCCAAAGGCTCAGTTCCAACCAAGCTCTCATGACCTGCAATCCTCTCTCAGTAGTATCTTCGCTGGCCTTCCTGCCTCCAGGAGTGCCCCTCCCATCCCTGCCTGCAGTCAGTGTATGTTATAGGGTGACCTTCCTGACATGGCTACAACGGCCAAACACGCCAGTCCTTGAAGGGATCCCGATCCTCTGTCAGTCCCTGACTGTGCCAACCTTGTGCATGTGTAGGACCACAGCCTTGGTGCCAGCCAGCTCCTGGGCCACCGTGGAATGAATCTGGTGGAGGATTAAAAGATACACCCACTTTGGCAGGAGGGGTCGTCACAGTTTTTCTTGCTGCCCTAAATCTGGCATTTACCATCTCCTTAGGAACCCAAACTCTGAGATGCCCAACAACCAGAACCAAGAAATTTACCAAACTTAGGATATTGCAAAGAATTTTAGCACTGACATCATCTAGTTTCTCTTCAGCCCAGGGCTTCCACCCACCTTCTGCATAGTGCCCCTCCCAAGGATGCTGTAGGGTCTGCTCTAGGGATGAGCAGCCTGGCAGCTTACCTATGGACTGGTCTCTCAAGTGGTAGGAAGGCTCTTCCTTCTCCAGAGCGGACACCAGCCCCATACCTATCACTTCTGCCCCCTAGAGCCAATCAGAACCAGCCTGCCCCCTTCCCCTAAATGCCCTTCAGAAACCCAGAATCAGCTCTCTTCTTTCCCTTCCCTTCTTCTTAAAATGAATGACTTCTCTTCTCCTGTGCAAAATGAAGGCCCCCTCGGCCAGGCGCAGTGGCTCACGCCTGTAATGTCAACACTTTGGGAGGCTGAGGCAGGCAGATCACGAGGTCAGGAGTTCGAGACCAGCCTGGCCAATGTGGTGAAATCCCATCTCTACTAAAAATACAAAAATTAGCTGGGCGTCATGGTGCATGCCTATAATCCCAGCTACTTGGGACGCTGAGGCAGGAGAATCGTTTGAACCCAGGAAGCGGAGCTTGCAGTGTGCTGAGATCACACCACTGCATTCCAGCTTGGGTGACAGAGCAACACTCCATCTCACCAAAAAAAAAAAAAAAAAAAAAATTGAAGGCCCTCAGTCCCTCTGCCTCTGTTTTTAGGTTTTGTTTTGTTGACTTTTTCTTTTTTTCTATTATTTTTGGTCACTGCCTGCTGGCATGCTATGCCCCAGCCTGGCTGGGGGATCCGAAGGCCTTTGCAGCTCCCCGTCTCTGTCTTCCACGTGTCTTCCTGGGACTCCATCGCTAAGTCAGGTTCTCCTCAGGTCTCCGCCTTTCTGAGCAGCCTCCCTCTCCCTCCCCCTCGCTCTTGCACTCTGCCAATGCTGTGCCTCTGCTTTTCTCCTCACACGCTTTTCAATTTCTCTTGCTCCCTTTCACCTTTATTTCTCCTTTAATTGGTCACAATAAAATAGAGAAATATGTTTATTTCCTAACAGGGTTTCTGATTTCCCATTTTTTAACACAAAAGGCAGACAAGGAGACATTTCACAATACTCCCTGTAAACAAACCCCCTCCGCTGCCTGCGCCTTCCGGTCCGTGCCCAGCGTGTGCCACTTGTCCAGCGTGTGCCAGTCACTCACACAGGGACTTCTGTGAGAGCTCAGCATTCCCTGCCTTTCTCATCTGGGTCTTGCAGTCCAGTGAACTGTAGCTCCAAGCTCCAGTTCAAACACTAGCTAACTGCATGAGCTTGAGAAATTCACTAAACTGAACTTCAGTTATCATTTCTAAAATGGAGATCATAATTTATACGTTTGAGAAACATGGTAAGAAACAAACGCAACCAAGTCTTCCACGCAGTAAGTGCCTGGAATATTCTGGCTTCTTTCTTCTTCCCTCCCTTAGCTGATGGGCCATGTGACCTTGAGAGCGCCAAGCCCAGTGACGACTTGGAAGCAAATCACAACCCACAGCACCTGGTACTGTGGGCTGAAGCCAATATGCTGCTTTTAGGTTTTGTTTTGATTTTTATTTTTTGGTCACTGCCTGCTGCCATTCTATGCCTCTGCCTGGTTGAGGGACCAGAAGGCCAAACATCAGTATGTCTGGCTTCCCCTCTCTGCTTTGTTCTCCTCTCTCCGTGGGGTGCTGGGGGAGACGCGTCATGCCCACTTGGTGCCAAAGCCACACGCCGCTCTGACTCACCGGCAGCTGTCCAGCCACACGTCCCCGCCGCGCAGCCAGGCCCCGTGGTCCTGGTTCTTGTAAGCAATGAAGTGCCTGATGATGGCCGGCTCCCGGGGCTTCAGCGGGTCGGCGTCCTGGTGAGGGCTGTATCTGCAGCACACCATGGGGAGGGCACAGGTGGCGGTGTGGGGGGCACGCCTCTGCTGACTCCCTTCTGGGCTCTGTGAGCCTCTCTCTACTCACAGTGCCCAGGAAGGCACTGACTACACAGAAACCCATTCTCATTGAATGAACCTTCTGAGCTTATCAGAGAAGCAAGAGGTCTCTCCTCCATGGCCCAGCCCATGCGGGCCATAAACAGGGCACCTTTCTTGTTCGTCAGTACCACTGAAGAGCCTGCCCCCAAGGGGAGTCAAAGCACAGAGGAAGGTTCAGCCAGCCAGTTCCAGCAGCGCATAGCAACACAGTGCTCGTGGCCCAGCAGGAGAGTCTGGGGACTCCCAGCTCTTCCACTAACTGGCAGGTCACCTTGAACTAGTGCCTCTTCTGGGGACTTCTTAGTTACAAAATGGAGTGCACTATCGTGTTGCCAGCGTTACTCACTTTTGATGGAGACCAAGCAACTTGTCTCTTTAAAGGGGATTGTTTTTGCTAATTACCTTGAGGTTTCAAAAGTACCTTTTAAAAGTTGCCCCTGGCCTTTGCCTGAACAGCAGGTTTATTTCTAGGAATGACCTGCACATTCTTTCCCATTAAATTGATGGTGAAATTCTTCCCTTCTATTCTCTTCACCCTTTCATCCTGGCCCCAACCTCTTGTGGCGGTGCTCATTTCTGCCGACTCACCAGGTATTCACTTTGCTGCGGGATCTAAAAACCTCTGGGAATTTCTATCTTCCTTTGGCTACTGGGGCTGGAATCCTAATTCAGACTTTACCCTGCTCAAGTTTTCACCATTGTACCCCCAGCAACTAGCTCAATGCCCAACACAAACCAAGAGCTCAACAGATGCCATGAATGAATGAGTGGCTGAAGGAGAGGGAGGCAGAAGGGACTGCAAGGTCACCCTGGACTGTGTCTTCCCAATGGCTGATTACCTGGCAGAGATGATCGAGAGGAAGGGCCGCTTGTCCTTGGCAGAGGCCTCGGTAGTTTTGACCCCGTTGTCTATGATCATGCCAGCCTGCAGCGAAGAGACATTCAGGGGCACATTAGCTTCTACTGCGGGCTGCAGGCATCTTCTCACACCCAGCCTCACTGCATACTTCTGAATGCTCCAGGAGAACCAGCTCGGTTCTCAGGCTGCATCAACAGAAGTAGAGGATCTACAGTGAGGGAGGTGAAGACGCTGCCTTATTTGCATGGCTCAGACCAAATCTGGAATATATGGAAACTGCAGTCTAGACAGGCATGCGTCTTGTCCAGGGCCACATAGCACAGTTCATGTGTGGAACCCACACTGCTTTGGACAGTTATTAGCCCAGGCCTCAGGTCAACAACAGGTGTTCACGCTTAGGAAATTTATCGGCTGTGATTTAAAGGAAACGCTGAACCTAAGTGCTGTCTTTACCTTGGGCAGGGGTCAATGACCTTCCTACGGTCTCATTTTAGCTCCTGCCTGACTTGAAGAGAGAATCTGGCTTTCCTGTTTGACTCCAAACATGTCCCCTTTGTCAGCTGTGGGGTAGGGAGAAATGGCATGGTGCCGCCCAGGGAGGCCACCATTCAGTCTTCACTCCTTTCCAGATCCTCTTGGCCTCTTGTGAATGCTCAGACTCGGATTTTTCTTCTTTAGATAACCGGCGGGCACTGTGGCCATTCGTTCTCCAACTGGCTTATCATTCGGCAGCGGTGATGTGAGTCAGGTGATGTGGGGTTGACTCGCAGCTCTCCACTCCTACTATGACTGGGTAAGTCCCTTCCCTTCTTTAGCCTCAGTCATAGCATCTGCAAAATGGGCTAGTAACACCTATATCACGTGATGGTTGCCAGGACCCGATAAGAGACCCCAGGCGACACCTCCTGAGACAGGTCACTCTCAGTGTGGATGTGGAGTCAAGGCTTTGGGCATAAACACCAAGGATGGGGCCTCCTCCTTGGCTCTGACAATGGAATCAACGCAGCTAGAGCTTCCTCTTCGCTCCTTCCGTCCCTATCTCAGAGACTGAGACCTGCTGCCTTCCTCAAGGCTCGTCCCTACGCGCACCCGTGAGCCCTTGCATGCCTGCATGTTGGAAACCATCCACCCACATGCACTCCCCGCTTTCCAGCCTCTCCACACCTGCGAGGTTCCATGTGGCCCAACTCCCTGCTCATGGGAAGCCTTCCCAAGCGGTTGGTGTGGGGCATGTCTTAACAAGCAGCCAACACATTCTCTCCACTGTTCCCCCTGCCACCAACAGCGATACGCCCCTGCACCTGCCTCTGTATGAAGACAGCTCTCTGAGGTCCGTGTCAGCCTCAGAAACGCCCTCTCTGATACCCTGCTCTAATTCTCCTCCATCAGGGCGAGACTGTTGTCCTCCCCACCTCTGTCCCCTGCCCTATGACACTGCCTGCTTTCCTAGTTCCTGGGATACAACACTGCCCAGAGATGACTCCTCTGTCTCTGCCACCTAGCCCCCCTGCTCGCCCCATCTCGTAGGTGTGAGCACAGGTCTATTCTGAGACATGCTCCCTTTCGGTCTCGTCTCTGGTTGGGCTTTTTTCATCTTTTTACTTTTTGACTCTGAATGTATCTGTTCCCCTTGAGGTGTGTCAGTTTCTTCATCGGTGCCATTAGGGATTCAACCAGAACACCACCCTAGGCATTTGGGAGCCTCTCTGCACACTGCCCTGGCATCCTTGAGGCTACCTCTGCCCTCACAAACAGCATCTCTGGTCTCAGCTGTGCTCCAAGCTCCATTCCCAGGCCCCACGACTCTGGTCTTGACTGCCGTCCTTGCTGGGATGTCCTTGACAGACTCAAGATCCCGGTCATCTTGGGATGCCCTCTGTCCCCCCGTGCCTGGCTTGGTGCTAGACACAATAGCAGGTGCTTAGGACATGTTGATGAGCAAAGGAAGATGACTGGGGACTTTGTGTCCCACCTGGCCACTCAGCTCTGTGCAGATGCAGCAGCTCATTCATTTCCCAAGAAACAAGACAAGAGGGAACAGCAGAGAGCATGCCAGCGCTGCCTCCCCCGCCCTTCAGAACCACGTCTCCATTTCCTTCTGCTTATAGATCAGGCTAACTTTTCATCTTTGAGACCGCATCCATCACCACCAAGCGAATTGCAAATCAAATTCAGGTGCCCAGCTCAGGCAGTTCTCCCCTGTCAACGTGAGCGAAGGCACGACTTGCTCCTTCTGCTCTGGGCATGTGCTAAGTCCATCCATGCCTGTACGGGAACCACCACAGGAGATTCGTGTGAAGAATGTGGCCAATGGCCTGGGAGGCCTCACATGGCTGCTCCATCTTCTTCGAGACTAACATTAAGAAGGCAGTTGTGGCCGGGCGTAGTGGCTCAGGCCTGTAATCCAAGCACTTTGGAGGCCAAGGCAGGTGGATCACCTGAGGTCAGGAGTTCAAGACCAGCCTGACCAACATGGTGAAACTCTGTCTTTATTAAAAAAAAAAAAAAAAAAAAAAAAAAAAAAAGGCAGTTGTTCCCAGCTGTCGCCAACTGGCCACCCCGGCTCTAATCATCTGCAGGCCTGGGAAGGGGACTGAGAGGCTGGCCAGAGAGGCGCAGTCTGGAAAGACTTACCCGGTAGTTGGAATGTGCTCGGTTGTTATGGAATTTTCCCAGTGGAATGTGCTCTGAATAACCTGGGGAGTACATTCCCGCAGAGGGGCCCGTCGGTACGTGGTGAAAAATGAACCAAAATCCAGTTTCCTGTGGGGAAGGACACAAGGGGAAGGCCACAGTGTTCAGCCCCACAGAGCTTCTGAGCCAGGCGGCCACACAGCCCACCCTGAAGGGTGGGTCTAGTACCTAGCGCCAGCACCCACGCAGGCCCTCGATGCCCACCCCAGCACACCTCCATGCGGTCCGGTCTGGAAGGAAGACGGTGCACAGGAGAGCCCACCATGACAGTTAAAGTCTTGCAGGGGTTCCTGCTCTATCAGACACGGCTCAGAACTGACGTGTGTCAATCACGGCAGGGCTCAAACTCCTCCTCTCTACACACAATGAGAGGATTTCAGGAGTGTTCTCTGCATGCCCCTTTCATTCTACAGATCAGGAAGCTGAGTCCCAGGTCAAGGTCAGGGTCCCACGGAAGGCGATGGGCGGGGTGGGTGACAGCAGGGCTATGTGGATGGAATGCTGTGCTGCCACCCTGGCCGCCACCTCCCAGCTGTGTCTGTCCCCAGGCACATCATCGCTCCTAGATCAGCTTCCTCCCACATCATAGGGGTTAATAATAGCACCTACGTCACCGGGTTCTTGCAAAAATCAAATTATGTGAGCTTACAACACTGATGTGTCAGGTACCATTCTAAGTTAAACCATGGCATTCTAATATGATTTATTATACATAAAGCGTTCAGGGCTAACTGTGGTTACCAGTATTATGAAGTGACAGGGCTGTCCTTTAAAACCAAGTCCAAAGGACGCCCCCGACCCACCACCCCAGTCTGTTCTTTTCCTTCACTGCAGCTAAGCCTGTCTACGTGGATGTCTGGACTTGAGGCTCAGAGCACACGTTTCGGGGTACACCTCAGCTGTCTCCCTGCCTCCAGCCCCTACCCTCGTCTTCTACCAGAGAAGGGATGTTTCTGCTCACCTCAGATCCTGCAGCGGCGCAGTTGATTAGGTTGTTGTTAGGATTGGCCATCCAGAAGGTGGACACAGCGCTGCAGGGAGGGCAGAGATACCTGAGGTCAGATAAAGGGCCACCAGGGGTCACCCTGCCTCACAGTGGGTGCAGGTCGGGCACTCTGATATTGGCTTGAGAGTCTCGTCAGATATTTGAGAAATCATTGATTTGCTGATCTGAAACCCACTTTTCTCATTAAAGTGTGGTGTTAGTTTAAGCACTTAAAATGTTCAGAAATTAAAAAGAGCATGGGTCTTGAAAATAGAAGCCGTGTGCGAATGATGTCAGGGTGGCTCTAAAATATGTGTAGGTCAGAAGGACCCCGGAACATATCCCTTTCTAAGCGAGGGTCCTGCACTCAGAAGGCTAGCTGCACTGCGTCTGTCTGTCTCTCTTCTATCTAGAAAAGGGTCTGTGTGGTGGGGTCCTCTGTGGCAGCCAAGGTGGCAGCCACTTCCTCTCATCAAAGAGCACCATGTGGATCAGGAGAAGCCCCACAGATGAGAACAGGGGCCCTCTTTGGACAAGAAAAATGCACATGAGGCAAATTGAGAAGGGAGAAGACGCCCTCCTGCCTGCTCTGCAGGAAGCTGGGGCAGTAGGTGGTTAAGGGCTGTGAGGCTCAAGCTGTGCAGAGCCCTGCAGTGCAGAAGTCTGGTGCTGGGCTGAGCTGAGTGAATGCATGCTCACACATGCACACGCCCTGCCCCACACACAGAGAGGGGCCAGGCACTTACTTGCAGTCTTGCCTGGGCTTAGGGATGTACCCCGGATAGGAGTCCTCGGTGATCATCTTGCACATCTTACTGTCACGGTCTGAGGGGAGGAGGGTTCCGGACTTGACAAGCAGGCCAAGACAGTGGTCAAAGGTGTTGCGTTCCTCTGGTCCGTCTTCCGTGAAGAAGCAGTGACCCAAAGAGTTATAACCCACGACGTCCTTGATCTGCAGGGGCCAAGACAGGGAGGCTCACCAGGCATCCAGTCATTGATGCACTCACTCATTCATTCATTCAACAAACACTGAATAGTATCGCCCGTACACCAGGCCCTGGGAGGGGCACTGCAGGTTTGGAGATGAATATGACAAGAAGTGATGGGCCCGGGGAAAGTGGGACAGGGGATGGGATGGCGACCTTTAAAATTCCTTTCTGGCTGACGGAGTTGGGGTGAGGCTCTATAGGGTAAGAAAGAGGGCAATATATCATAAGTGAGAAAGTGAATCCAAGCGAGGCCGTGGACTGGACCATGTGCACCCACGCTGATGAGCACACAGCTGAGTGCCTTGTGTACAAGGACTTACCACGGAGGGACTCCACAGAGGAGGTGCCACTGAGTAAGTGTGGAAGAGGGAACTCCATCTGGGAGCAGCCCCTGAGCTGGAGCAGGTGCGCTTATTATTGAGACCAGTATTCATGCTCCTTATTGTACCCTCATCCAGAAATCCAAGCCAACGTGTTAGCCCAGGTTGTGCATCAAGCCACATTTGCAACGCCTGGCTTCAGAACTAGAATGGGCTGCAAACTCCAGCTTTTTGGTTTCCTTCTTGGAATCACAGAGTCAGGGGGAAAGCAGGAAGAACATTTGCGTGGATATTGAGATACCAGGGACTCAGTTTCAGCAGCACATCCAAGCAGCGCGGGGATCTCAGACAAGCCTCCTGTGTTCTCTTCATGAGCTTTTTTTCCACCGCAAAAATGAAGGACTTAAACTCCATGATCTCTGAGGCTTCTTCTGGGTCTGAACTCATCAACCTCAGAACTCAGGCCTTCAGAGGGCCCCTAGCCTGAGACCCACTTCCCTGTCCAATGGCAGACTCCATTCCCAAGCATAACGGGCAAACAGGTACCCTGCTTCTGCTCAGACACTCCAGAGAGATGTTCACTTCCTTGCAAGGTGGCGTGTTCCACAGTGAGGCAATGGCGAGAAATGCCTCACTTATCTTCCTTCATCCTCGCCCCTGGGTACAGACTGCCCGATGATGTCATCCAACAAGGGAGTTCCTGCTTCCTGATGACATCAATGCAACCCACACCTATTCAGTACCTGCCACCGTGCCAAGCACTGGAAAATCCACATACCAACCAGCAACAACCCTTCCCCTCTTCCCCGCCCCCCGGCACTGTGAGCATGTCGAGAGGCTGTCCTGGGCATTGCAGCCTCCCTGGCCACTACCTACTAGATGCCAGGAAAAGCTCTTCAGTTGTGACCACCAAAAACGTCTCCAGACATTCATTGCCAAACATTCCAGTGGGTAGGAGGAAGGGTGACAGAATCATCACTGATTGAGAGGCCCTGATGTAAACACCACAGTTCCCTCCAGTCTTTTTTTTTTTTTTTTTTTTTTTTTGAGACAGGGTCTGGCTCTGTCACCCAGGCCAGAGTACAGTGGTGCGATCTTGACTCACTACAAACTCTGCCTCCTGGGCTCAAGCCATTTCCCCACCTCAGCCCCCCGGGAAGCTGGGACTACAAGCGTGTGCCACCATGCCTAAATAATTTTTGTATTTCTGGTAGAGACGGGCTTTCACCATGTTGCTCAGGCTGGTCTCAAAGTCCTGGGCTCAAGCAATCCTTCTGCCTTGGCCTCCCAAAGTGCTAGAATTACAGGCGTGAGCCCCTGCGCCCAGCCCAGGTCTTTCATACGACAGCTGCCTACTCCTCAAGCCCCAGACAGCTGTCCTTTAGAAGCACTCTCAAACCACGCTCCACACCCCAGTGCTGGACGGGTCCCTTCTACCTTTCAATCTTGTGGAAATCTCACACCATCCTCTATTCAATTCTTATTTTTTTAGAGATGAGGAAAATGAGACTCAGAGAAGGCAACTGACTTGCTAGAGGTCACATAAGCCATATGTACAAGGTCATGGCTGGAAGCATGTTTTTCTGTGTCCACTCACTTCATAAGGGAGGACCCAACATGCGAGTGGCTCCGGTCCAGGCAAGCTCTCTGTTCTTTTGAATAAGCCTCCTTCCCTCCATCTTTGGTAACAGGCAAGGGTGTGATCTTGAATCCTATTCATTTGTTTAATAAGTCAGTCAGTATCGTGGTCAGCCAATGGGACTGCTTTCCTTTCTTCTAGTAAGCCCTGGAAGGTTGTTATAAATAGCCAGGGCAGACAAGCATGGAACGAAAAAGACGAGGAAATGTGGGCTTCCCAAGCTGGCAGGAACATCTGAGGTCAAGTTAAATGCCTTCACCTTTACAGAGGAGGATGCCAAGGCCCAGAGAAGGGACATGGAGTGTCCCAGGACACTCAGTGACCTCATGCTGCAGCTGTGCTCAGACCCAGGCCTCTGGCTTCCTGCCTCCTGCCTATAGCTTTTTCTAAATCTTCGGGACCCATTTGCCCTGCCGTGTGGATCACACTTTGGGTAGTCTTTCTTTGAATAGGAGCAAATAATGAGTTAGGTGCATTCTTACTCTAAAAAATGTCAGAGAAAGAAATTCCCTCCAAGACCATCGAGATGTGAGAGAAAAATCCTCATTGAAAGGAAGAAAAATGACCAGTGTTTATCGGATGCTGAATGTTTTTACATGTTATCTTATCTAAACCTCATCACGACTACAACTCTGTAAATGACACTGAGACTTAGAAAGTTGCCCCAAGTCACTTCTCTTGCAAGGACCGAATTAGGACTTGATTCCTCATCTGTCTGATTCCATAATCTGTGTGTCAATCAATACTCAACACTGCCAGAAAGAAAAGGACTCTCTCATTTTGGGCTGCATTTCTTTCTTCTCCTTCGTAGTGGCATGAGGATGGCACACAGAATCAAGAGGGAAGCATAAGGCCGAGGAAAGCCCTGGGTGGGGGCAGAAGGCGCAAGTTCAGGTCTTTACTAAGTCTCAAGCTGTGTGTGACTTGCCTAAGTGCCCCTGTGCGATGGGATGACGTCTAAAGTTTCTTCCAGCTCCAACATTCTGGGCTTGTTCCTCCTTAGATCATTTCTCAGAGTTAAATATTTAAACTGTGACACAGCTTGAGATGATAGATGTAGACAGATGTTTGGATAGGTAGATGGATGGATAGACAGATAGCACATGCATAAACAAACATGCATATAGATTTAAGGGTGGCCATTCAGTCCCTATGTATGCCAATCAGAAGTAATATGTAAGTTCCCTGCCATTCTCTTGCACAAATTGTATTTTTCCCTTTGATCTTCGGGATATCTTCCTCCCTGCTGATGGCTGGCAGTCGTGAAAGCAATTGCTAAATGCTGTTTTAAGTCTTCAGCCATTCTTAAGTGAAGGAGAAAATTCCTGGGCTCTGCCTGACAATCAAAGAGCTACAAACAGCCAGCGTGGACTGCTTCAGTGGGGGGTGGCCATTTTATTTAGTTTATGGTCTGAACCAGGACACGTTTGAAGTGAAGAAGGTGTGATTAGCAGTTAAGCTGGGACAACAGGTCTAAACTAGACCGTTCTGTGCAAATCAGGACATATCTGTGTGTTATGATTTCTACCATCAACTTGTATACAGCAAGTAAAAGAAACTGCTGTTTAAAACAAATACAGATAAAAGTGAACTTTACTTGTTTCTGCCTTCTAGGGTGGGTATGATATGATTTATGTTATTGAGAAACTTGGCCGGGCGCGGTGGCTCACGCCTGTAATCCCAGCACTTTGGGAGGCCGAGGTGGGTGGATCACCTGAGGTCAGGAGTTCAAGACCAGCCTGGCCATCACGGTGAAACCCCATCTTAAAAAAAAAAAAAAAGAGAGAAACTCGACAACAAATACAGTCATGTTCTAAAGAGCACTGGAATTTCCAATCTTCTGCCATTATTATTTTTTTAAAATTTCTTTTGAACTGCTGAAAAGGAGGCTGCATAGAGTAGGGTAGTGGGTCATTTGTTTTACAGACTGTGTTAATGAGTTTTTGAATATGCAAATTAAAACTGGGAGGAAGAAAAAAAAAAAAAACCCGGACAACCAAATTACTCTGCCAGGAATAAGTTTCTAAGGCAGCCGAGGAGAGGAGGGGAGGAGGAGGGGACTAGAACTCAACAACTAGGTTAGGGGTGAGGAGGAAGTACCCTGGAGGGAAGCCTCTGGTCTACGGAGGGACCTGTTACTCCATTTATTTATTTATTTTTTATTTATTTTTTTAAAGATGGGGTTTCACCGTGTTGGTCAGGCTGGTCTTGAACTCCCGACCTCAGGTGATCTGCCTGCCTTGGCCTCCAAGTGCTTGGATTACAGGCGTGAGCCACCACGCCCATTTCTTACTGTTGCTTGTGGTGCTGATCTGTAATGTGTTCCCTCTCCCTCCCATCTCTTACCCCAATCCACCAGTAAAAGCCCTGGACCAATGAAACTTTTCGGGAAATCAAGGAAAACAGTCTGGGTTTCATATTTGGGCTCACGCGGAAAGGAGAGATCGAAACCACCTTTGCAAAAATTATAAGAGCTAGAAAATTATGACAGTGAAAGAGATCTGACCAAAGCAACTCCATCTTGCTTCTAACCTCCAAGCTGTCCTTGGTCATTCTTGGGCGTAGGCTAAACTGACTTTGGGAGGAACTTAGTTGATAGCTTAACTTTGAAACAAAAAACGGTAACAGCCCTTTCCCAAAACAAACCCTCATCTTGTTGGGGAGGGGGGTACTAAACTGCTTTTGTAGGACTAACAATTGGCCACAAGATTAGAAATTATGGTTCAGGAGTCATACAGCAAGAGGCCATAAGATTCTAAACCTCCCCAGCTGCTCCTGGGGACAACATCACTATTATAAAACCTAAGACTAGTGCTTATTTTTCAGACCCTGCACTCGATGGATCTCCTAGTGCCTCCCAAGATGATAAACTGGCTCATCTGGTCCTGTGGCCCCCACCCAGGCACTGACACAGCACAAGAGGACAGCTTTGACTCCCTGTGACTTCATCTCCAACCCGACCAATCAGCACTCCCCACTTTCCGACCCCCTACCCATCAAACTA